AGTGTGAGTTAAGCTGCTGGGTCTGGGACTTGAACCATGGTCGACTATGTGGAAGTTCAGCAACATAACCATCATAACCATTATGCCATCTGTTGGTCCCAACTTTTTAAAATGTTCTATATTTACATGTAATTGTTGCATGTCTTTATAGCATACAATATGGGTTTTCAAAGCATAGATGCAGTGCATGTCAGGCAAGTGAAATAGGTTATCATACAAATAACTTCATTTCTATGTCTGTTAATTTTTTTTCTTCCTGTGCCCCTCCCTCCCACCTTCCCTCCCCACACACACCTTCCCCCCACCACCACCTACTTTCTGCTTTGCACGTGCTCAGCCCACATTATGGGGATTCACTCTGCACAACTCACTTCTCGTTCTTAAAGGAGGCAGCCCCTTGTATTTTCCTGTTAACCACATAACAGTTTATATTTCCCAGATCTACTTCTCTGATATTTAGTCCTAGTAATCAAGTATCTAGTCAGGTTCCTGAATAAATTAAACCTCTCCTCTCTCTCTCTCTCTCTTTTTTTTTTTTTTTTGAGAGGTTTTTGCTATAAGGGCGCATGCGCTTGCCAGAAAGACCAAGAGAGACAGAGAGACAGAAAGTGAGAAATCACCTCCCAGGGGGGATGGCCACACCATAATCCCTTCTCCTCCATTCTCCTCTCAGGATCTTGGGCACGCAGCACTTGTGCCCAGTGTGAGTTTAAGCCACCAGGTCCGGGACTCAAATCGTAGTCAACTACATGGGAGTCCAGCAACATAGCCATTATGCTAGCTACTGGTCCCTAAACCTCTCCTCCTTATTTGACATTCAGAATCTTAGATCTAATAGCCTTCTGACAGGTAATCAGAAACAAAACTGGGCAAAAGGGAATCTTCTTGTCAACATTTCTCGTCAGTTAGGCTTGGAGTGCCTTTTGCATAGCGAGTTTGGCTGCATCTGGAGTCTCTGACTCAGTGTTTTGGTTCAAAGCTTTTTAGGGTGTTCATTTGCATGGAAGCACAAAGAACGTTTTCCAGGCAAGTGAACATTGTTTGTTGTGGGTAAATCCTCCCAATGCTGAAAATTTTAAATTCTATGGTTGCCTCTCTGGTAAAAGCTTAAACTGTGTTAGAAAACCTGGGAGAGTGATCAGAGCTTTGACCAACTCGGTTAACAAATATTGATGAAGCCTGCGTTCTTCTAGGGTTTACTCAATTGAACTGCCATGGTTTTACTTGTGAAAAGACTTTCTGGATACTTTCAGTTAAGCGTGACTGTGAAAGGAAATCTCCTCAGCCATTTCCTCATCTGTCATCCAACTTTCGCCATTAGCTAACCTCACACTTGTGGAAAGAAACTTTGCCAGGAAGAGGAAGTAACTCGGAACTAATTGAACTCTAATTGTAGTTCAGATATTTGGATTAGTGTAAGGTCAAAGAGGATCATAAACATTTGGGGCATCCTAGTCAGTGTAGATACTACCTCTGCCCCTCTTTTTCCTCAATTTAAAAATGTGTTGGGTTTGGGCCAGTCAGGTGGTGTAGTTCTAAAAAGCAACTGGATCCCACATGGCTGACTAGGTGGTTCGATTCTTGAACCTAAAAGCTTGAAAATCATTCTGACTGTGTGTACGAGGAAGCTCTAAGTCCCAGAAGGAGAATGGAAGAGAAGGTATTGCAGCACAGCCATACCCCCCTGGGGGGCTGATTCCTCACTTTCTTTTTCTTTATTTTTTAAATTTAATTTGATTTATTATTATCATTTTTAAAAATATTCATTTAATCACATGTATCTTTACAGTGTATTACATTTCTTTTTTCAGCATGATTACCATGCTTACTGATTTCTCACT